TTTACCTCTAACATAAGCTTAGAAACAATGCTTCTCGATTCGTAAACGGTAACTTATGCAACGATTAAATATGCAACAAATTATCGATCGATAAATTTGAATTATTTTAGATTGTTTCTCGCTCGAAGAAACGAGAAAAGTTTCTAACAGATTAAAACTTTGTCAATGATTTTTATACTAAATTCATGATTAAAGTGACTAACTTTGGATCTACGATAATAATCGATCATCCATCCTAATACATATAGAATAATATTTAAACATTTCCTATTCCTTGTTTTCATTTCTATCAGATATTTTTTAAAAAAAAGGAAATACATTTGTTAATAGTTTAAAAAGAAAACAAAAAATGGAAAGAATGTTTGATAAACAATATCCAACATTTGTAAAAGAAGAGCAGATAAAAAGCGCTGACTCCCATCGTTGGCTCAGACTTGGAGGACGTGTAATTTCCTGAGGAGTGTAGAGGGATAACGAAGTGCGCTTTCCCTCAACGCGGAATTATTGGATCGCCACGCGAGCTTCGCATACGAATGCGACGTTAATATCTGCAAGCTATATCTTTGTCTCTCTTTATTTCTCACTCCCTCTCTTTTCCGCATGCTCTCATTTACGAGAGGGATGATTCGAGCTTTTAATTAAGTCTAACGCGGCCGCCGTAAAGGCAAAGTATGCGCGTTACGAGCGAAGCCACCTATGCCACTGACCATTGTCTCGCTTACGTTAGTCGTCTTCCTACACAAATACACAATAGGTGAATAGATTTGTGTGTGTGCGCGCGCGCGCGCAAACACGTACAAAGATAGGCAGACGGCGACAGCAACGGCGACGGCGACGGCGACGACGATGGCAATGGCGATGGCGGCGACGATGGCGTCGGCGTCGGTGACGGTGACGGTGACGACGACGACGACGACGACGCTACCTGTGGCGGCTGCTATGGACGTCGAGGACGTTGCACTGAACCGCTTCGCCCCGTGAGAACGACGGGAGCACAGAAAGAAGAACGGAGGAACGAGCCGCTACGTAGATGTGTATGCATGTATATGCATTTGTACATGAGAGAAAGAGAAAAAGATAGCCGCAACCGCCAATACCGCCATCCTTTTGCCGCCACCATCCTCCTCCTTTCCAGGATAAGCGTCATGAACATCCCGCGCGCGAGTAACGTAATAACCCTCCTCTTCTTCCCACCATTCCTCCCTTTTTTCTTCTCATTCACGTTACCCCGTGTATACATGCGAATTTAATTCGATTTTCCTCGGACTCGCTGAGCTGAATTCTACCTATTCCATTTATCTTCTCGAACGTGAACTATTTTTTTTTATATATATACGCTATGTCATTTTAAGATTACGAACAATGTGCTCCATTTTTTGGTCTATATGCATTTTTATGCAAGTATCATTTACGGGTGATAACAGCTACTACGCAAAATTCTAAACAAACCGATAGTTTTTGTTATTTCTTTTTTTAAACACATACCTTGGGCGGCTCCGTAAAATTGAAAACAAATGGGTTTCTATAGACAACATTTTTCAAATTGTCTATCGTTATAATTAAAACGATTTTTATTCAATTGATTTCAAATTGTAACGATACTTTGATAACTAGATTCTTTAGAAAAGTATCTGGTAATTGTTTGATAAATTAAAAATTACTCTAAAGTAATTTTACATGGATTTTTTTTCTCTCACAAAATGAGATTTCGTATCAAAACTATGCCATTTTTTCAAAATCAATATTTTCATAAATGGTTATGTATTTTTCTGAGTACTGTAGTTAAGAAAGATACAAAATGTTGCTATTCTATTCTTAAACCAAAAACTACAGCATTCATGCTACTCTACCGTTGACCATCTTAACAGACAGACACCCTCCATTATGCACATGCAGTTCCGTCATTTTGAATAATTTTATCACTAAAAACAATTAATTTTGTATAACTTTCAACATTAACAATATAAAATTAACCAAGTAATTTTTCAATAATATCATTAAGAAAATGACCAAAAAAATTGCCGATCATAAGATTTATTTTCGACCTGTTAAATAGGTATTACCCCTTAAGAATAATTGATCTTTTCTTTTCGCATACTTTCGAGTCGGATTATTTTCGAAATGTCCACCGAGAGAGAAAGCGACTCGTCGATTTTACATACATATACATGCTATATATTTGTATATACCCTCTCCCTCACTCTTCTCACCATCTCTCACTCTCTTTCTCCTGTCGACTTCATTTCTCTCGAGACTCGGCCGCGACACTCGGTGAAAAAAGAAGGCAACCGCGATATTATCCGGCACAATGAGCGTACGAAAGAAAGAAAGGATTTTGAACGAGCAGGAGCGATAGAGATAAAAAATACGTACGACTCGTGGAAAGAGAAAGGTACTTCAGGGCGATGCCATCTCTCGCTGATTTGCGAAAGATCCTTTTTTCTCTTTCTCTTTCTCTCTCTCTCTTATTTGCATCCGTTTTTATCTCTTTCTGTTGTCAACCATCCCATCAATGCCATCCATTTTTGCATGAGCTCTTCGTCGGAATGCGTGTCTTGCTTGGCATCGTCACTATCCAACGATAGATTCTCTTTTCTTCATTTTAAATTGATCCATCACGTAGAGATTATAATATACGATCATCGCGGAATTCTACGGAACTCAAAATTTTCCTCGATCGACTTCGATTCGACGCATTTTAAATGGGGAATATATAAACGAAAAAAAAAAAAAAAAAAAGAAAAAATGCACATCGTGTCACCTGTTGCGCGATACTGTAAATAAAATTGTACGAGACGATTACGACCTGTCGAATTCGGTTATACTTTCGATTATGATATTTAAATCAAGACTTTTGTGTATTATTTTACGAAACGCGTTATAAAGGTAGCAAAATTGAAAATAAACAAAGGGTTACAATTAACGCGTTCAAGCTCGTACGAGAAAGCAAGTACTGATTGTTAAACGATAATAATAAAAGAAAGAAAAAAGTTTTCTGCGGGTTCACTCGTACATGAACGCGATTAAAAAATTTTTCTAACGAACTTTCCCATCCTAAAAAAGAAAATAAAAAAAGTATCCACCTAGCCGGATTTTTCTTATTATCGTTGTTTCGCTCTAATAAATTTCAATCTTAATATTAAACGAGAGTAACTATTTTTAACGTTTTAGATTAATTTTAAGATGTCTTATTAATTTTTTTGATTTTATCGTTTATTATGTAAATTATTATTTTCTTTTTCGGATTTTATGGCAAATTAAAATAAAATTTTCCTTAAGTAATTTCAAAATAATTAAAGGAAAAAATTAATAATAATTATTTACCGATGCTGGGTAGATTCGAATGAGGAGCGATAGTTAAAGTTATAGATAAAAAATACATTTATCAATATTAATATTATTCATATTATTTATCGTATTTTTTTACTTATTCCACGGTTACTATAAACAATCGTTGTCGCAGTTCAATGGATAACAAAATAAAATATAATGACCGAGAATATGTTTAAGTCTACACATACATCACAGAGAGAATTTTAAATACCAAATTTTCTCGTAAACAAGAGCTGAAATCAAAAAATGTTACTTTATTTTCTCGACTTACTTTTACATATAAAATCATCTCCTGAATATATCCTGTACCTATAATATCATCCTAAAAAATATCAACATCTATTAAAATTTACATCTATATACTTAAAAAAAAAAAAAGAAACGATTAGAGAAAGGGGTTCTTTAGCGAAAAAATCCAGAAGACTATGCTTTTATCAAGCAAGGTGGAAAATGCGATTGCTGGAAAGGAGACGCGACGTTCTCCGACAACGTGCCGCTATTTTGCGTACGTTCGTCACCCAGAGTGAGAAAGAAAGAAGGAAGGAAGGGTAGAAGGCGGAGGGTGAAAACGCCAAGAGCTTCTACAACGAAAAGAGGAAACATATCTTTCGTTCTCTCTCTTCCTCTATTTCGGTCTTTCTCACTCATTTTGTCCTGTTTCCTTTTAGCTCTATCTCATTCTAACGTTCTCGGTCTCTTAGAATACTTGAAAGTGTAACGACGCCTGCGCCACATGAAAATCTCAATCCACCCTCAAATGTACCCAGCGTGAACGTTGTCACGACTGTGGAACTTTCGGGCTACGCGACTGCCGAACGTCACAACGTTCAAACGCAAATTTCTCTCTCTTTCTCTTTTCATTTTCTCCTTATCTTCCATCTCTTTCTATTTCCCCTCTTAACTTATTCCGTCGCATTAATACTCATAGAAATTTCTGATGCTTAAACTTTTCGATGTTTCTTCAAAAGTTCCGACAAAATATAATGCACATTATTTTCATTCGAATTATTTTTTTCAATAATAAAGCTAAGCATCAATTTAAATCAAAGTATTTATTCGTTTGTTTGTTGATAACACGCGTATACCGTAATCGATCAAGTTTTTAGTTGCAAAACTTTACGAAGAAAAAAAAAACATATTCGACATACTTAGCAATTATTTTCGCGTTTCTTTCTTTATTTCTTGAAAAAAAAAGTCGTGATAAAATAAGCAAATATGTTAAACGAGATACGTAATAGAAATTCAGTCACGTTTTAGAAATAGTTAAGATAAAAGTATGTCTAAACTCTATTACTATCATTCTTCTCATTACGATTTACGTTTCGGCGTATCGCTAACATAATATACGAAGAGCCTTTCGACTTATCTTGCGACGCGCACGATAATCATGCGAGTTCAGAGAAACCTGCCGTCAGCGAATTCCACTTGCAAGCAAATTATGTTTTTCTCTTTGTTGCGATAAAGGAAAAGCGAGTGGAAGCAAGAAAGTCAAATGGAACCGAAGACAAAAATTATTATATATCCTATGATTTTCACGTACGATTACCAATAATTTAACAAAAATCATTTCCCTCCCCCCTCCGCCCCCCGATAATAAGAGAAGAATACAATTTATTATGCGATCTAGATTTACACACACACAGACACAGACACAAGAAGAAAAAAGAAAGAAAGATAACTACTATCCACTCGACAGGATTAAATTTCAAAAATCTTATTCGAATGTTCCAACGAAGGTCTCCGCTGTTAAAGCAACGAGCTTCTTTCACCGTCCTTTTTAAGAAGGAAATACGTGTGGAAGGATAAAGAAAAAGATCTCGCTGGAAGGGACAAAACGAGAAGGACGCGTGGCTCGTCGAGGCGTAGGCGAGCGCACGAGTTACCCTTTTCAACCTTCGACCCAAAGTATCAACTCGTCTCTCTCTCTCTCTCTCTCTCTCTCTCTCTCTTTCTCTCTCTCTCACTCTCGAAGAGTTCACGTTACACAAAATATACACCACACGACAAAAATTTTCCTTTTCCCAGAGGAGTTACCAGATATAACGAGCCTTTTTATGTGCGAGAGATTGGAGCGTGAAAAAAAATTCATCAACGAGTAATCCCAATGCGTCTGAACTCGTTCGACGGCTTTCGATCACGAGAGAAAAATGATTTACCGACAACAACAATAAAGAAAAAAAAAATACATTCGATTGGTTACACACAGACAAACGAATTTTTCCTTCATTCATTTCGAACACCATTTTCCCTTTTTTCGTTTTTATTTTTCGTGAATCTTTCTACGTTTCACGTTTTGTAGTAGTTTATGAGAATCTCTGCTTAGAAATGACATCGTACGTTACTCTTCTTTATTGTTAGTTCCCTCCTTATACGTGAACACTTGGTATATGTTTCGACGACTAGACGACGACGATGACGACGATGACCGTGCGTTACTTGGTATCACGCTCACACGTAACTGAATTACCGTCGTTGGTTAAACAAATCTCTTCTCGGTAAAAGAACTTCCTGGAAAACAGTGCTCGACATATTTTATTATCGGTAAAACATAACAAACGAATTATGAACATTCTCCTATAGTTAAATACCATCGAACGAGTCAATTTAATCGATGAAATAATATTGACATCACTCTTTTGTTTGTTTATTAATTTTCAACATTGTTTTCCTATATAAAAAAAAAAAAAGAAAAAAAAATAATCGATGTACTCAGTTATATTTCGGCAGAACCACAATGTTCTAAATATTTGAATACACTTGATATATATTTACATATCCATCGTCGAGAGTTTCAAATCACGAATAATAAAACAAAATAATTCGTTTTTACTTGACATATACAAGATTTCAATTGTTTCCGTAGAAACGACGTTCGGTGATCGAAATACAGCATCCTCGAAGAATAGATCATCGGACTAGGACTTACCTGAAACAGAAAAAAAAGAATTTCTTTAATCATCCGCGTTGTAAATCAAGAATCAACCGGAGACACACATTTATTCCGTGTATCCGTAAAAATTGTTTGTAATACACTTTCTATTGTACACTTTAAATCATTTCTCGCGATAATATAATACATAATACGATTCACGTTTAATCATTTTCTACTAATAATAAGCTTCGAATAACTTCGATTTCCTATATTCCAAGCTTATTTCGAAAAGCCATCATCGTTAGAATATTTCTAAATGAAATGTTAATATTAATGAAAATTCATTCCCATCTCATACCCTGCTAAATACTGTCTTTCGTTGATTATTACCACAACACGAATTATCCTATAATTATTTGTAATAAATATTAATTCGTTTATAATATACATAGATACGATAACTCCTCATTTTAAATGAATTCACAGGTTTACATAAAAAAAAAAACTAAAAAAAAAAGATGAGAAAAGAAATTTGTAATACTCTATCGTAAATTCAAAAGCAAATCATAATAATCAAAAGTATAATAGGGTAATCACGCGATGGAACAACAATGGTTCGATGAATATGAATCATTTCTTTTTCATTTCTATTTGTCGAAATGGTAAAAATAAAAAATAAATACAAAAAGAAAAAAAGGCCTCGTCGCGCATAAAGGTAATATACACGCTCACCTCCAAATAATTAACCAATGAGTACGTAGTAATGTCACGGTAATAAAGCACGGAATGATTTTACCCGTTATTGTTACTAGCCAGCGAGGACGGTGGGTTCTCGACTCTCTGACATCCGATTCGCTCGCGTGTCCCACTTTTCCCACGCGCGATCGTTGCAATGCTTTCTGCTACTACTTTGTAGCTTTCACGAGAGCAACGCCTCGACGCTTTAGAGACCGTTACTCCTTGAACATAAATCTTCCTATCTTTTCAAATCATTCGTCCATATCCTAGACTCGTCGGCTACATTAACAACGAGTATTGAAATTATTCTATAGGAATCTACGCAAGTAAAGTTAATTAAAATTAACAAAACAAATGTACAATTTTCATTTATAAATTGTATCATCCAAAAATTATCTCAATTTTTTGCTTTATCACTCTCTCTCACTCTTTCTCTCTCAATAATAACATTAAGCTGTTTTATCCTTATTTAATTTTACGATCAACATTAAAGTATCGAGAGTAATCATACAAATTGCTCGTATAAATAACTCGACACTCTTATACTCCATAGTATAAACTCGAGAATATCGATTTCTTTCTTTCCCTAGACAGCGACCGTAATATCGACTGAAATTTCAATCTGTCTCAAGTGGAAACGCAAAGGGGGGGAAGGGGTTGTTGTAGATGGGCCTTAAAGCACGTTCGAACGTAGATAGGAGAAATTATCGAGTTGTGAATCATTGCTTTGAGAATGTTCGTGAGGTGGGCCAGATAGATAGACGCGTCGCGGGAGAGAAAGGAAAGGGCAGAAGAGGATAAGAAGAAGGGTTGGGAGACGCGCAACAGTGTTTACACTTGGCGGTCAATGAACGCCATCCATGATCTCGGAAACCAGACCACAAACGTCTGCCCTCTTCCATTCCCTCTATTTCTTTAACGTTCTACATTATTTAATCATTTCTTTATTTTATTCTACAACCATTCCTCCAAATCAAAAAATACCTTTACATTTTAATTATAGTATTGTTTTACGTTCACTATAATAGACAAGTTTGTTCGGCCTGAAAATGAAATTCTATTTGAAAAATAATTAAACTTGATACAGTGATACCATTTTGAAAGATTTTTTCTTTACGATTGTAATTGAATGGGCATAGGGGAGAGGCGAGTTCATCGGGGTTTTAGGCAATTCATTTCAGGAACATTTTTTTCAATTAAAAGTGACGACGATAGTAGCTAAACGTTGAGCAAAGGAAGAGGGATAGAGAAGGGAGGAAGATAAATAGAGAAAGAGAAAGAGAAAGAAAGAAAGACAGAAAGAGAGAGAGAAAGAGAGAGAGAAAGAAAGGTGGTTTCTCTTTAGCAGCCCCCGAGGCTGGTTCGATTTATCGGCGAATGGATGAATCCGGGTGCAGGGCCACGTAAACGGCCAGGAGGGCGATGCTTGCATAAAGTGGTGGAAAATTCGGGTTGAAACCTGTGAAAGCGAGGAAAGAAGATCAATAAAGTGGTGTGCCATACTGTCGGTGCCACTGGTGTGTCGTTGTATAGTGGCTGCTGCTTCGTTGGTGTGTATTATTAAGCGGAGGTGTAGAGATAGCTAGAACGAACGAGACGGGACGGAACGGAACGGGACGGGACGGGAGAGAAAAAGAGAGGCTCAACGAAGACAGAAGAGAGGGCGGATAGAAAATGTAGGACAGACGTAATAAAAACTAACCAGAGTAAGAGAGACGACACTAAACCGTGGTTCTCGAGAAGCAACGACGAGCTCAACCATATCTTCTGACTATCAGAGACACGAAGTGGCCTGGGAAAAGACTTGGTGGTGTCAGGCATTAACTGAAAGCAAGTCGACGGTAACAACGCCAACGCGTTTACAATTAAACGTTTCTTCGACGTCAATGAATTTATTTCTTTTTTGTTTTCCTATTTTAAATATATAAAACATCTCTCAAAGATATATTTCTTTTATTTGTATAAATTCAATAATCATTTTAGAATTTGTTGTTCACGTTCAACAACAACATTTTCGCACAGTAAATAAGAATCTCAATATTTTAAACATACGAAATTTTTTTTTTTTTATTAAAAAATATACATATTTATAATCCGTCAAAATTGAACGATAATTCACGTAAACGAGAGCAAAGATTAAATAGAGATTTACCAAAAGGACGAGAAATGAGAACCGCTGAATACCGAGGTGCCGCGTTCCCCCTTTATGCAGCCATTGGCGTAGACACCTTAATTCTTGGAGGATAGAATCGAGGTATCGTATGACTTTATAAAGAAAATCATTTTAATAATCCTAACATGTGACTATAATGTTACTTTCGACGAAATTATCTTCCTCGGACTTCTTGAAATTTTATTTTATTTTTATCCTTTTTTTTTTCTTTTTTGCGTTTTATTACTATTCTCCCTTTGGTTGGCTCCCTTCGTTTTTATCAAGGACTTGAAACGTCTTTTCGTACTCTCGTAAGAACACGATCGTCGTCCTCCCTTTTTTTTTTTTTTTTTTCATTCTCTCCTCTTCCAACTAAATGATCCGAGCTTTCAAGCTCCTCCGTTTCTCCCCGTTACTTCTACCGTTCGAACCCTTCACGCTTCGTGCGACCGACTGGAACCGAACGTAGCCTCCTACTTTCCACGCGTCAAACCTCCCCCACCACCGAGATTCTTCTAGTAATCTTTCTTCTTCCGAGAATCACCGATCCGACGTTTGTATTCTCGCGCCTTCGACGACCTTCCCTCCTGACCTCGAACGTTTCTTTGTCCTTTTTATCTATAGAACGAAGATACGTCTTGTACCTCTCTCTCTCTCTCTCTCTCCTTCTCTCTCTTTCTATTGCTAGCAAGCTTCTATTTTTTATCTTCTAACTATTAAAACTTTTGTTTACATTTATATTTCTTTCCAAGTAATAAGGGTATTCTAGGAAAATATAGATATATATTTTGAAAGAATAAAAATATTCTTCTACGAGTATCGATATTATATAAAAGTTTTTCCCTAGAAATAGCAAACTACGCGTATATCATATGACAACGTATATTCATATAACACATATAATATATATATATAATATGTTACCGTCATAGCCGGAAATCCGCCATTGCTAGTAATTCCTCGGCATTCTCATCAATGCAAAAGAGCCTATTTTCAAAGAAATAGCACAGATGCACAATTTACAGCATTGCATTCTCTGATATTTCAGAACTTTACATGCTAAATTTATAACTTGATATGGTATTCTACGCGTAGGCAAAAAAGTGTACTTTAATTTAATATAAGTTTTATTAAAATTTATTCACTTTTAGTATAAAAAATATTTACCAAAACTTTTTAAAGAAATAGCAAAGTTGTACAATTTATAGCATTGCAATCTCTGATATTTCTTTGAAAAGTTTTTTGGGGGAGAGGGGTTACGTATGGCTGTGTGTGTCTGTGCCCGAGAATGTATTCTTTTCAACGTTGTTTAAATAATAATTTAATATTCGATAGAATATCAAAGTATTACGTTCAATGCTTAGGAAAAACTGTAAGAATTCTTCTGTTTCCGACTTCATCGGAAAGCTTTTTGCATTGATGAGAATGCCGAGGAATTACTAGCAATGACGGATTTCCGGCTATGATGGTAACATATATAACAACAAAATATGAATTTAATCATTCAATTGTTGCAACAACATGCAAAAAAGTTCACTTTAGCAGAAATTATTTGGAATGATGCTTGGATAATAATACAAAATGGAAATTGAATTTGATCAATTTTCTTATCAGATATATCCACAAATGCATTTAAATATTATTATCGAATAGAATAATAAGCGTCTTCTCTCGGTAATATTCCATGGTTGAAAACGAGTTGGCTTTTGTTACCCTTGACAGCCACAGAGCTACTGTAAAATCCCCACCCGTTTTTCTCCTCGAACACTCTCTTCTCTCCCTTCGCACAATTTCCATCTCTTTCGCTCCACCGCTTGTGCGCAGCACCCCCTTTAAGAAGCTAGAAGGAAGAAAGCGAATACGTTTCGGAGCAGCTTTCCGCTACTTCCCCTTTTCGAGGTTGAGAGAAGACGGCTCTCGTTTCCGGTGTTTCAGCTCGACCTTCTTCGTAGTAGGAAATCCATACCCTTCCTTTCCATCTCATCTTTACCACCTATATCCCATGCATTTCCCAAAGGAATACGTTTTAATAGTTCACCTTAATAGCTGTATCTGATTCATTGCCCTTTAGCCGCGCTTTAATCGTACTTCGTGTACAAATTCGAACCCATATAACGCGCCCTTCATCCTTATAAATTCATAATACCACCATTCCATTTCACTTATTAACGTTTCCATTTCCATCGTTACGAAACAAATATCTGTTGATAATAAGAGAAGAAATATAGATAACCGACACGTTATACATATACATACATATATATATATATATACATACAAGATACATATGACATAATAAACAGTTTCCATAGACAAATCGAACGGGTATATAAACCACATTATTATATTCTCATGCTTGTAAGCTTGCCGAGATATTAATCGGTAAAAAAAAAGAAAAAAGGTGAATCTCTGCAAAGACAAATAAATAACGAGGAGGAGGAGGAGGAAGAGAACGAGGAGAGGGAGGAAAAGGAGAGGATACGTTAAGCGACGAAGCGGTAAATGTGGAAAAGAGGATGTGCGAAAAGAGGAAGAGAGAATGAGAGAGAGATAGATGATATATAGATAAAACGTTAGAGTGAAAGAGAGACAAAGACAGAGATACATATATATATATAAAGAGAGGAGGTCGGCAGGTTTTAGCAGCGTCGCTCGATCGCAAAGCTTCGCGACTACTCTTGCCACCCTTCCACGGCCTCTCGACATCCTTCTTTCGTCCCTCGGTATGGCTAGAGGTGGATAGAGGTGGTATAATAGTAGGTGGTAGACGGGTAAAGGCAGTAGGTGCCTCCATGTTATGCAGCCCCACCACCAACTCCATCCTGACCAACCGGCTGTTTACTGTTTGGCCTCCCGGGATATCGATCCCAGTGGCGTAAGAACCATCAGCCTAGGAGCCCCTCGACTGAAAGAGAGAGAGAGAGAGAGAGAGAGACAGAGGGTTGGTTAGGGGGAGGGGGAGGGGGAGGGGAAGAAGGAATAGAGGAGAACGGAGGGGTTCCGGCCGCGGCTGGTTGCCAACCGACCTTGTTGATACGGCATAAATCCGACACTATTCGCGACCCTCTCTCGGTCGACGACACTCCGCTAAATTGCCTTCGACGGAGTGGCACCCACCTTTAATTGGGTATATACGTTTCCTTCCGGGACAATCGAAATCAAGCTGCTCTACCGACGACTTTTTACTTTTCCGCTCTTTAACATATCGCAATATCTTTTTCTTATTTTCTGTGTTTTATATATATATATATATTTTTAATTTTAATTTCTATTGTTAGATAAGCGGAAGAAATATTTAGGTATATTTCACTTTTCATTGGTTCTCCGTAATTACAATACAATGAGCGTGAAATAAATTTCACTTGGAAATATGCGACAAGTAAATGAAAATTACAAGATGGGTAGTGTTGTGTTGGGAGATCACGCACATTCTGTTAGATTAATCGATTAATATTAGATTAAAGGAGACTCGAGTAAATAATAACTTTGTTGGTAATAAGAAAGTGTAGGATACATCATCTTATGTAGAAGAGAACGCTGATATTTCTTGTAAAATCGATTAGAAGATATTATTAAATATAAGGAAAGTTAAATGTAAGGGAAAAAGAGCAAATTAGATGAGATATTTTAAGAAATTGTCTAATCTAACTCCCGATCGCAATTGGGATGGAGTAATAAAGGCATAAATTATGGAATCGTTAATCGAGCTACCGATCTTCGTAAGACAAAGAGAGAACAACCTCTCTCTTCTTCTTCGGACCATTTATTGAAGTGAAGAAGGGAGGTAAGTAGGATAAGGGGGTGATCTTTCTGAGGGGTTGCTGTATGCTAGATGATGTTCGTCGGCACTAGACGGTACTACCGGCGGCCATTGTTGTGCCAAGAGGGTCGAAGAACGAATCTTGCCACGAATGGATTTTGGGTGGGATTAAGCCGTCCCAGTTTCGATTCCATTGGCGCGATTTATTGAGACGCCAACTTCGATAACCATCCACCACCAACGAACGTTGCTCGCAATTTCTGTCGCCAAAAATTTAGAAATCTCGAACGAATCGACAGAAACTATATGTATATTCGTTAATATATATATATATAGTCTATATAAATTTATGTATAGGTATGCATATACACACCAATGCATACAATTTATGTATGTACCTATGCATTTCCTGTTTTCACCTTAGTGCCCTTAAGCGATAAATAAGGATACTTTTTTTTCCTTGTCCCTTTTACTTCGTGACTTTTTTATCGTCTATAAGGCTGGAAAAGGCTAAGAAAAGGAATCGCATTAAATAAGGCGTTGTGCATTATCGTAAAACCGTTGAAAAGATATTCCAAAGAGTTATTTTTCTACGAGAAAGTTATAGTTCGTAAAAGATGCTAGTTCATATTTATATTCAAAGTATAGAGTTAAAGTAGATAATTAGAGTGAAAACATATTTTGATAATTTCAAGAAACTTTAACAAATTTTACCTCCATTCTGTAACTCAACATTGTCTACAATTTTTGTTCAAATATTAGCTTTGATTGATTTTAATTAAAATGTTAATAAATCAATAATGAATTTAACGTTAAAATGCTTTAAATTATTTATATAGTAACCTATATACGCTATAAGACTATATATATAATAGTAAGTAGTTATGTTGTTTCGTTCGAAACACGTGTTTCTGTTAATTCTTTCGAACACGCGTTATCCACGATCGAAATCTTTTGTGTCTCTCGTTCTGCGCCTATCAAGCTTCTACCAGTGCTACGCTCCTATTCGTGAGCTTGCGCAGACTCTAAAGTCTCCCTTCGATCCTCTGATCCTTCAAGTAACAGTATATGTTCTTAGATTATATCTTAAATATATTTAAACCAAATGAATTAATAATACTCATCAATAATTCATTTGATTAATATTACATTAAAACCATGAATTTTGTATTCTACATTGAGCTTATAAAATTTTCAACACACTTATTCACAAAATTAGATCCTCTGAAAATTATCAATAAAGATGTTGTCATTAAAATGTTTCAAAATAATTGATCAAATGATAAGCAACAACAACAACAACAACAAAATGAATACATATGTAAGCCACGTTATTCGATGTTTTTAACCAAAGATAGGAAGCAAAGGTAACCAAGTTGTGATCTAGGAAAAGGAGCCTCCATTACGTGGCATAGGGATGAGGATGAGGCAATCTGTCGGTTAAGCCGCCTCTTATTACCTCGCCACCGTCGCCACCGCGCCGGAATCCGCGTGAAAATATACAGGGTGGAACGTAATCTGTAAAGGCAAATCATCCAACGTGTTACTATCTTGAAATATAAATCAAGAAGGTCTAAAGGGTAGTAACTTCTCGCAAAGTGGAAATAACAATGGTTCCTGTCTTATCTCTACTTAAGACTTATTAAATATTACAAATTTACACAACAACCCCTTTTTACAACTAATCATTGTTCCTTCTCGTTATCAATTATTTTTGTCCCGATATATATAAAATAAAAAGTGAATCGTGTATAATTTTTCATAGAGGAAAATTATTGGAGAAGGGAAAAATGGTGACAAGAGTGATATCTTAATTATAAAACAAGTAACTGAACGAATGTTTTTCTAGTAATTAACGGGATAGTAACGAATTTAAAAAGAAAAAAAGAAAAATAACCAATTTTAATTTAATCAAATTTTTATGCGATCGTTGATGTCATTGAAAAAG